TTGTTGTGTTTTCATTTTTGTGTGTGTCAAGAAACTTTTATTTCCCCTTGAATCTTTTCTTCTTGTCAGATGGGTATGGCCCTGTTTTAGTCCCCTTACCTGGACAGGAGTTAGAGGGGCCACTCAAGGCCTCTCCTACTTTTTTCCAAGCAAGTTTTCTAGTTGGAAGGTACTGGGAGCTACCTTCAGCTTTGGCTATGAATTAATCCCCCTAGTATAGCAGGAAAGCCTTCCATGTCAGGTATTGGCTTTTCTCTGGGGGGCAATCAGCTCTGCCTAGCTCTCAGCTTGAGTACTATTTGCTACACAACTTCCAAGTGCTCTCTCCAGCTCATCTGACCAGATGAGGCCAGGAAACACTCTGTTTAGTGGGGGATCTATAACTCAGCCCCTTGACTGGGTATGGGAAAACAAGGCTCTAAGGCCAGCAAAACTCCCCCGTTGTGGACCCAAAACAAGAAAATACGCATTCCAGTGAATTCTCTGGTCAGAGTGCTGGGATCTCTTTTCTCACAGGAAGAACCTGTGGTAGACCAATGCAGTCACTGTGTAGCCACTTCTCTTAACCATCTAATGCAGTCTCTCTTGGTTTCTGTAGTGCAAGGGATGTTTCAGCCTCCCCCTGTGTCTTTGGATTTTGTCAGTTGGTGTCTTATTCATGAATGGTTGTTAGTTGTTTTTCTAGTGAGGGGAGGTGAAGTCAGGAATGTCCTATGTTGCCTTCTTGGTGATATCAATCTCCCCATAGTGGACTTCTTGGGGAAAGATATTTTTTCATGTGGTCAACTCAATTAAAAAAGGCCCTCATGCTAAAAAAAACCAACAAAAAAACAAAAACTCAAAATATTACCAAACACTAGGTATTTTTCTGTAATTTATTGAATTTGTCAACAAAATTTGTAAAGATAACTTTTAAGTAATAATTCACTTCCCTGTTTTTCTGATTGCTATTTTTTTAAAAAATATATTTTATTGATTTTTTACAGAGAGGAAGGGAGAGAGATACAGAGTTAGAAACATCGATCAGCTGCCTCCTGCACATCTCCCACTGGGGATGTGCCCGCAACCCAGGTACATGCCCTTGACCGGAATCGAACCCGGGACCCTTCAGTCCGCAGGCCGACGCTCTATCCACTGAGCCAAACTGGTTTCGGCCTGATTGCAATTTTTAAAGTCTTGTATAAAGAAAGATAGTTTACACTTTATGTTAATTGTTAATATGTCCTGTACCTAGAGATCCGCCATTAGATAGTGTTCGGCATTAGCTTGAACAATGTACTATTTAATATGTTATTTAAATATGCTAAAACACAAAACAGAATTTTTCTTGTTAAATTATGAGAATGTAATGATTATATTAACAAAACCAGTTGGACCTCTGAGTTAGTCTCATGAAATTTAACCACTCTTACTTTGATCTCTAATCTCCTTTCTAAAGATTACAAATTTAAGTAAGGTATAAGTATATTAGAGGCCTGGTGCACAAAAATTTGTGCACTCGGGGGGGTCCCTCAACTCGGCCTGTGCCCTCTCGCAGTATGGGACCGCTCGGGGGATGACCACCTGCTGGCTTAGGCCCCCTCCCCAGGGAGTCGGGCCTAAGCTGGCAGTCAGACATCCCTCTGGCAGCCTGGGAGCCCTCAGGGGATGTCCACATGCCAGCGGGGAACAGGCCTAAGCTGTAGTCGGACATCCTTAGCGCTGCTCAGGAGGTGGGAGAGGCTCCCACCACCACCACTGTACTGGCAGCCATCAGCCTGGCTTGTGGCTGAGCAGAGCTCCCCCTGTGGGAGCACACTGACCACTAGGGGGCATCTCCTGCATTGAGTGTCTGCCCCCTGGTGGTCAGTGTGTATCATAGTGACCCGTCATTCCTAGTCGTTCTGCTATTAGGGTCAATTTGCATATTACCCTTTTGTTATATGCCTGGTGCATGGGTGGGGGCTGGCTGGTTTGCCCTGAAGGGTGTCCTGGATCAGGGTGGGGGTCCCGCTAGGGTGACTGGCCAGCCTGGGTGAGGGGCTGATGGCTGTTTGTAGGCTGTCCACAGCCCCTTCAGGGTGGAGGTCCTCGCTGGGGTGTCAGGCCAGCCTGGGTGAGGAGCTGATAGCTGTTTTCAGGCTGGACACAGCCCATTCAGAATGGGGGTCCCCATGGAGTGCCTGGCCAGGCTGGGTGAGGGGATGATGACTGTTTTCAGGCTGGACACAGCCCATTCAGAATGGGGGTCCCCATGGAGTGCCTGGCCAGGCTGGGTGAGGGGATGATGACTGTTTTCAGGCTGGCCACAGCCCCTTCAGGGTAGGGATCCCCGCTGGGGTGCCTGGCCAGCCTGGGTGAGGGGCTGAGGGACGTTTTCAGGTTGGCCACACCCACTTCAGGGTGAGGGGTCCTGCTGGGGTGCCTGGCCAGTCTTGGTAAGGGGCTGATGGCTGTTTGCAGGCTGGCCAAGCCCCCCAGTGGGAACCCTCACCCCATGAGGGTGTGGCCATCCTGGGTGAGGGGCTGACAGCTGTTTGCAGGCTGGCCACAGCCCCCAGCCACCCAAACTCCCAGTGGAGGCTGGCTGGAAGCAGGTATCTGAGATTTATTTATCTTCTATAATTGAAACTTTGTTGCGTTGAGCGGAGGCCACAGCTGACCAGGGCAGGTGGGAAGCTTGGCTTCCTCCATCGCCGGGGCAACCAAGCCTCCTGCTTCCTCCAGCTCGGTGGGTGCCGGCCGCCATCTTGGCTGGGTTAATTTGAATATAGTCACTCTGATTGGCTGGTGGGCATGGCTTGGGGTTTAGCAGAGGTGCGGTCAATTTGCATGTTTCTCTTTCATTAGATTAGATATAGTGATGGAATATTATATATACTAGTCCATATGAGTCATATACACTTTGCATATAACATTATTGTTTAAAGTATTACATATGTCTCCTTTTCCCAAATTGACCCCCCTGCCACTCCCACCCCTGAGGGCAAACATCCACTCCCCCAGTGTCTTTGTCCATTGGTTATGCTAATATGCATGCATACAAGTCCTTTGGTTGATTGCTCACTCCCCCCCCCCATCCCATGCCCTTTGTCTCTGGATCTATTTTTGTTCATCAGTTTATGTTGATCATTATATCTCACATATGAGTGAGATCATGTGATATTTACCTTTCTATGACTGACTTATTTTACTTGCTTAATGCTCTCTAATTCCATCCATGCTGTTGCAAATGGTAAAAGTTCCTTCTTTTTTACAGCAGCATAGTATTCCATTGTGTAGATGGACTACAGTTTTTTGATCCATTGATCTGCTGATGGGCACTTAGGCTGTTTCCAAATCTTAGCTATTGTAAATTGTGCTGCTATGAATATAGGGGTGCATATATCCTTTCTGATTGGTGTTTCTGGTTTATGGGATATAGTCCTGGAAGTGGGATTACTGGGTCAAAAGGGAGTTCCATTTTTAACTTTTTTAGGAAACTCCATACTGTTTTCCACAGTGGCTGCAACAGTCTGCATTCCCACCAGCAATGCACGAGGGTTCCTTTTTCTCCACATCCTCACCAGCACTTGTCATTTGTTGATTTGTTGATGATAACCATTCTGATGGGTTTGAAGTGGTACGTCATTGTTGTTTTGATTTGCATTTCTTGGGTGGTTAGTGACTTTGAGCATGTTTTCATATGTCTCTCAGCCTTCTGTATGTCCTCTTGCGAAAAGTGTCTATTAGGTGCTTTGCCCATTTTTGATTGGATCATTTATCTTCTTTTTGTTAAGTTGTATGAGTTCTCTATAAATTTTGGAGATTAAACCCTTATCTGAAATAGCATTGGCAAATATGTCCTCCCATGCAGTGGGCTTTCTTGTTGTTTTGTTGATGATTTTGCTGTGCAGAAACTTTTTATTTTTATGTAGTCCCATTTGTTTATTTTCTCCTTAGTTTTCATTGCCCTAGGAGCTGTACCAGTAAAGATATTGCTACAACATATATCTGCTATCTTGCTGCCTGTGGAGTCTTGTAGGATTTTTATGGTTTCCAGTCTTACATTTAAGTCCTTTAACCATTTTGAGTTTGCTTTTGTGAGTGGTGTAAGTTGATGATCTAGTTTCATTTTTTGCATGTATTTGACCAAATTTCCCAGCACCATTTATTGAAGAGACTGTCTTGACTCCATTGTATGCTCTTTCCTCCTTTGTCTAATATTACTTGAGTATAATGGTTTGGGTCGATTTCTGGGTTCTCTGTTCTGTTCCATTGGTCTATATTTTCATTCTTGTGCCAGTACCAGGCAGTTTTGAGAACCGTGGATTTGTAATATAGCTTGATATCTGGTATTGTGATCCTTCCAAATTTATTCTTCTTTCTCAGGATTGCTGTGGCTATTCCGGGTCTTGTTTTTTATTCCCTATGAATTTTTGAAGAGTTTATTCTAGGTCTGTGAAATATTTTTTGGTATTTTAATGGGGATTGCATTGAATCTGTAGATTGCTTTGGGTAGTATGGACATTTTAATGATGTTGATTCTACCAATCCATGAACACTGCATATAACATTTTATATATAGTAACATTTTATACACAAAGTATAGTAATACCCATAAAATATTATATATACTATACCATTGACTCATATTTCTTAATCTCTTTACACAATGAAGTATTGATAGTGCCCTAGCCAGTTTTGCTCAGTGGATAGAGCATTGACCTGTGGACTGAAGGTTCCCAGGATCGATTCTGGTCAAGGGCACATGCCCGGGTTGTGTGCTCGATCCCTGTTTGGGGGCATGCAGGAGGCAGTCGATCAGTGATTCTCTCTCGTCATTGATGTTTCAATCTCTGTCTCCTCTCTGAAGTCAATTATATATATTGATAGTGAGTCTTATAAACTTAAATTTCCATATCTGTATCACAATTGATTATGTTATATCATTTTTCTACACAAGGTCTCATCATTGCGTTATCTTAAATTATGGAAATGATAACCATATGTATATAGAACTTGAAATGCATAATACATACATAGAGTGGCTTCATTTGCATGGCTGAAGAATACTTGTTTCCATAATTTGCTTCAGGATTAGCTGTTTCCAGAGAGCCATTCCAATTATAAGATGGATGGCTATAAGGATTATCCTCGTTGGGTTTACGAAACATAAAGCTATTTTAAAAAAATAAACATGAAATATTTTAGCATACTTATAAATTTTGGATATTAACCCCTTCTGAGATGCACCAGAAAATATGTTCTCTCATTCAGTGGGTTTGCTTTTCATTTTGTTGATGGTCTCCTTTATTGTGCAAAAACTTTTTAGTTTGATGTAGTCCCATTTGTTTAATTTTTCTTTTGTTTCCCTTGCCCAATAATACTTTTTTTCCTTTTTTATTGTTTAAAGTATTACAAAAAACTCACACAGTGTTGAGTTGTGATGAAATAAATCGTTATCACTATATTCTATGCAGCAGTTCTCAACCTATGGGCTGCGACCCCTGGAAATACATTCTGCATATCAGATATTTACATTATGATTCATAACAGTAGCAAAATTACAGTTATGAAGTAGCAACAAAAATAATTTTATGGTTGGGGGTCACCACAACATGAGGAACTGTATTAAAGGGTCGCGGCATTAGGAAGGTTGAGAACCACTGTGAATGGCATACAAACATCCAGAAGTCACATTAGATTGATATAGTAGATATAAGAAAATAATGAAATCCTCTGGATTCCGAAGATGGCGGCGGTATAGGCAGACGCGTCCCAGGTCGTGTCCCTGAGCAAATGGAGTGAGCAGCTGAAACTAGTAACATCCACCCTGAATTGGCGAAATTCCTCAGCTGGCGAGACGGTTTGCAGCCGGGAAGAGCAGAACTCCCCTGGAAAGCCAGAAGAGCCACCACAGCTGTGAACAGCACCCACCAGAGGAGATGCTGCCAACTGAAGAGCAGCTGCTACCGCAACCGCCCGAAGAGCAACCACAGACCAAGGAGTCACTGCCACCAAGGAAGCAGCCACTGAACGACTCAACGTCTAGATATGTCAGCGAGATCAAACATGGGTAGAAAAAGAAACCCCCAAAGGAAAGAGAAGGAGGACTCTCCAGAAAAGCAGCTAAGTAATACAGAGGCATGCAACATGACAGAAAAAGAATTCAGAATAAGGGTCCTAGAGTGCATAAACCGGATGGAGGAAAAAATCGACAACCTCTCCAAGAAGCAAGAAGAAACAGATGAAAAAATCGATAACATATGGAAGAAGCTAGAAGAAACAGATGAAAAAATCAACAACTTAAGTAAGACCCAAGAAGAAATGAAGAGTGATATAGCTGCAATGAAAAACTCCATTGAAAGTATCAACAGTAGACTAGGAGAAGCGGAGGACCGAATTAGTGATTTAGAAGACAAGGAAGCAAAACACACCCAAAACGTACTGCAATTGGAGAAAAAAATGAAAAGACAGGAGGAGAGCCTAAGGGAGCTTTGGGACAACATGAAACGAAACAACATACGAATAATAGGGGTACCAGAACAACAGAAGGATGAACAAGGATTAGAAAACCTATTAGAAGAAATAATATAAGAAAACTTCCCTGAGGTGGGGAAGAAAAAAGTCACACAAGCCCAGAGAGTCCCAAACAAGGTGAACCCAAAAAGACCCACACCAAGACACATCATAATTACCATGGCAAATGTTCAGGACAAAGAGAGAATCTTACAGGCTGCAAGAGAGAGACGGAAAGTTACATACAAGGGATCTCCCATTAGATTGTCAAATGATTTCTCAACAGAAACATATCAGGCCAGAAAAGAATGGACGGAAATTTACAAAGTGATGCAAAGCAAAGGACTAAATCCAAGAATACTCTATCCAGCAAGGCTATCATTCAAACTTGAAAGGGAAATAAGAAGCTTCACAGACAAAAAAAGGCTAAGGGAGTTTATCACCACCAAGCCAGCAATGCAAGGAATGCTAAAGGGACTGGTATAAAAATAAGAAATAAAAAGCTCAGAAAGAAAACAGCCACACAAAAACAGAAATGCCTACAAACAAGTACCTTTCAATAATAACTTTAAACGTAAACGGACTAAATGCTCCAAACAAAAGACATCGAGTGGCTGAATGGATAAAAAAACATGACCCATACATCTGCTGTCTACAAGAAACCCACCTCATTAGAAGGGACTCACACAGACTGAAAGTGAAAGGATGGAAAGATATCTTTCAGGCAAATGGAAAGGAAAAGAAAGCTGGGGTAGCAATACTTATATCAGACAAAATAGACCTCAAAGTGAAGGCCATAACAAGAGATAAGGAAGGCCACTTCATAATACTAAAGGGATCAATACAACAAGAAGATATAACCCTGGTAAACATATATGCACCCAATGCAGGAGCACCCAAATTCATAAAAAAACTCCTGGAAGATATCAAAGGAGAGATCGACAACAATACAATCCTTGTAGGGGACTTTAATACACCACTGACAGCACTGGATAAGTCTTCTAGACAAATAATCAGCAAAGATACAGCAATCCTAAATGACTCACTAGATCAGATGGACTTAATACACATCTTCAGAACACTTCACCCGAAAGCCAGGGAATATACATTCTACTCAAATGCTCATAGGACATATTCAAAAATAGACCATATATTTGGTCACAAGCAAAGTATCCCCAAATTCAAGAAAATTGAAATCATAAAAAGCGTCTTCGCAGACCACGATGGCATAATATTAGAAATAAACTACAATAAAAACAACCCAAAATACTCAAACACCTGGAAGCTGAATAGCATGCTATTAAATATTGATTGGGTTACCAATGAAATCAAAGAAGAAATTCGAAACATCCTGGAAACTAATGACAATGAAAACACAACAATCCAAAACCTATGGGACACAATGAAAGCAGTCCTGAGAGGGAAGTTTATTGCTCTACAGGCCTATCTCAAAAAACAAGAAAAAATGGTAGTAAATCATCTAACTCTACAACTCAAAGAATTAGAAAGAGAGCAACAAGAAAACCCCAGAGTGAGCAGAAGGAAGGAGATAATAAAGATTAGAGCAGAAATAAATGACATAGAGACCAAAAAAACAATACAGAAAATCAATGAAACCAAGAGCTGGTTCTTTGAAAGGATAAACAAGATTGACAAACCTCTAGCCAGACTCACCAAGAAGCAAAGAGAGAGGACCCAAATAAACAAAATCAGAAACGATAGAGGCGAAATAACAACAGACCCCACAGAAATACAAATGATTGTTAAAAAATACTACGGACAGCTCTACTCCAACAAACTAGACAACCTGGAGGAAATGGACAAATTCCTAGAAAAATACAACATTCCAAAACTCAATCAGGAAGAATCTAAAAACCTCAACAGGCCAATAACTATGGAAGAAATTGAAGCAGTCATCAAAAAGCTTCCAGCAAACAAAAGCCCAGGACCAGACGGCTTCACAGGGGAGTTTTACCAAACATTCAAGGAAGAACTAAAACCTATCCTCCTCAGACTACTACAAAAAATTCAAGAGGAAGGAACACTTCCAAGCTCATTCTATGAAGCCAGCATCACCCTAATACCAAAACCAGGTAAAGACAACACAATGAAAGAGAATTACAGGCCAATATCCCTCATGAACATAGATGCCAAAATCCTCAACAAAATCTTAGCAAATCGGATCCAGCAGTACATCAGAAAGATCATACACCATGACCAAGTAGGATTTATCCCAGGGATGCAAGGATGGTACAATATCCGCAAATCAATAAACGTGATACATCACATAAACAAATTGAAAGAAAAAAACCACATGGTCATATCAATTGATGCAGAAAAAGCATTTGACAAAAGTCAACACCCATTTTTGATAAAAGCTCTCAGCAAAGTGGGAGTAGAAGGATCATACCTCAACATAATAAAAGCCATATATGACAGGCCCACAGCCAACATCATACTCAGTGGACAAAAACTAACACCATTTCCCCTAAGAACAGGAACAAGACAGGGATGCCCCCTCTCACCACTCCTGTTCAACATAGTACTGGAAGTGTTAGCCATTGCAATTCGGCAAGAAGAAGAAATAAAAGGCATCCAAATTGGAAAAGAGGAAGTAAAACTGTCCTTATTTGCAGACGACATGATATTATACATACAAAACCCTAGCGACTCCATCAAAAAGCTACTGGACTTAATACATGAATTTGGCAATGTAGCAGGATACAAAATTAACCCCAAGAAATCAGAGGCATTTCTATACACCAATAGTGAACGTTCAGAAAGAGAGATTATAAAAACAATCCCATTTACCATCGCACCAAAAAAATTAAGCTACCTAGGAATAAACTTAACTAAAGTGGTAAAAGACCTGTACTCAGAAAACTACAGGACGTTGAAAAAAGATATAGAGGAAGACATAAACAGATGGAAGAACATACCGTGTTCATGGATTGGTAGAATCAACATCATTAAAATGTCCATACTACCCAAAGCAATCTATAAATTCAACGCACTTCCCATTAAAATACCAACGGCATACTTCATAGATCTAGAACGAACTCTCCAAAAATTCATCTGGAATAAAAAAAGACCCCGAATAGCTGCAGCAATCCTGAAAAAGATCAAAGTAGGTAGGATCTCAATACCAGATATCAAGTTGTATTACAAAGCCACTGTTCTCAAAACTGCCTGGTACTGGCACAAGAATAGGCATATAGATCAATGGAATAGAATAGAGAGCCCAGAAATCGGCCCGAACCAATATGCTCAATTAATATTTGACAAAGGAGGCAAGAACATACAATGGAGCCAAGATAGTCTCTTCAATAAATGGTGTTGGGAAAATTGGACAGATATATGCAATAAAATGAAACTAGACCACCAACTTACACCATACACAAAAATAAACTCAAAATGGATAAAGGACTTAAATGTACGACAGGAAACCATAAAAATTCTAGAAGAATCCAAAGGCAACAAAATCTCAGACATATGCCGAAGCAATTTCTTCACTGATACAGCTCCTAGGGCACTTGAAACGAAAGAGAAAATGAACAAATGGGACTACATCAAAATAAAAAGCTTCTGCACAGCAAAAGAAACCATCAACAAAACAACGAGAAAACCCACTGTGTGGGAAAACATATTTGCCAATGTCATATCTGATAAGGGCCTAATCTCCAAAATTTATAGGGAACTCATACAACTTAACAAAAGGAAGATAAACAATCCAATCAAAAAATGGGCAAAGGACCTAAATAGACACCTTTCAAAAGAGGACATTCAGAAAGCCAAGAGACATATGAAAACATGCTCAAAGTCACTAATCATCCGAGAGATGCAAATCAAAACAACAATGAGGTACCATCTCACACCTGTCAGACTGGCTATCATCAACAAATCAACAAAGGACAAGTGCTGGAGAGGATGTGGAGAAAAAGGAACACTTGTGCACTGCTGGTGGGAATGCAGACTGGTGCAGCCACTATGGAAGACAGTATGGAGTTTCCTTAAAAAACTGAAAATGGAACTCCCATTTGACCCTGTGATCCCACTTCTAGGAATATATCCCAAGAAACCAGAAACACCAATCAGAAAGGATATATGCACCCCTATGTTCATAGCAGCACAATTCACCATAGCTAAGATCTGGAAACAGCCTAAGTGCCCATCAGTAGATGAATGGATTAGAAAACTGTGGTACATCTACACGATGGAATACTATGCTGCTCTATAAAGGAAGGAACTCTTACCATTTGCAACGTCATGGATGGAACTGGAGAGCATTATGCTAAGTGAAATAAGCCAGTCAATGAAGGAAAAATACCACATGATCTCACTCATTCATGGATAATAGAGACCATTATAAACTTTTGAACAATAATAGATACAGAGGCAGAGCTGCCTCAAACAGATTGTCAAACTGCAGCAGGAAGGCCGGGGAGGGTTGCGGGACAGGAGGTAGGGGGGTAAGAGATCAACTAAAGGACTTGTATGCATGAATATAAGCATAACCAGTGGACATAAGACATTGGGGGATAGGGGAGGCTAGGGGACTGTCTAGGGCCTGGGGATAAAATGGACACATATGTATTACCCTTTGTAATACTTTAAGCAATAAAAAAAAAAAAGAAAATAATGAAATCCTCATAATACAAAGAAAACCAGTCTTTTTTATTCTATTTCTCACTAAAATTAAGGGGTTTTGTCAGGGAATAGTTGCTATGTTCCTTTGCAGAATATCCGAGAAATTACTATGATACTTAGATAAATGTAATAAGCACAATTTAAAAATTTTACAGATTAATTTTGGTCAGTGCTGATTTTTCTCAGGAAATGTGTTAAAGTGGTATCTTCTCTGGGATAAACACAAGTATATATTATTAGTTCAAAACATTTTTATCTCTTACTGTGCCCCTTCCTCTCTGCAATCCAAATTCCTATTAAAAAATAAATACATAATATTCTCTACTAAAATTCTTTCTAAGTAAGATCCTATTTTCTTTCTCTTTAAGTATTTACAAGCTTTCATCTTCCATTTAAAGTGATAACTTACTTGTAATTTCTTTCAGAGAATTGTGGTTGTGGAGATGCAGGACTAGTAGGATGGACATTCTGAACGGATAGAGTCCTGGGATTCTGCACACAGATGTTTTTAAGAAAAAAAATGAAATGGTTAGCCATGATTTTAAGGAAAATTAGAAATACCACAGCCCACATTGATTCTGTATATTAAATATCTAAATGTCAAGGTAGCTCCAGGCCTAATCCCCAAAAAATGACAAAGGTATTGCTAAAAGGCAAATGTTTTTTATTATAATTACACCTGAGCAAATCTCTCTATTTCTATCATCTATCTATGTATCTATCTTTCTATCATCTATCTATCTATCTTTCTTTCTATCTATCTATCTATCTATCTATCTATCATCTATCATCATCCTCTATATACCTCCCTGCAATGGATAATGGCTTACTGAAGATGAAATGCAACTGACTTATTTCGCTTAGCATAATGCTCTCCAGGTCCATCAATGCTGTTGCAAATGGTAGGAGTTCCTTCCTTTTTACAGCAGTGTAGTATTCCGTTGTGTAGATGTACCACAGTTTTTTAATCCAGTTCAGCTGCCATTCTAAGCATGAAGTGACCCTTCCAGCCAAAAGGATTAAATATAAATTCCACTTCTATTGTCACTGTATGTAAAACACTTATCCCCAGAGAAAATACAGTCCACAAAAGTAACTCAGACACAAAATACACAGGGTGAATATAGAGACCTGCATCATCAAACAGCCATGGCATACTGCATAGACTCTTGGAGTGAAGCTAATACATATGAATAATTTAATAAAGACTTGGTACTTAAAGTTCATACCTTGAGTAAGTATATATGCAAAAAGTAAATTGCTGTAAATGGGTATTGAAGCAAGAAATTCGCATGTTGACACAGACATGAGGCATATAACAGTGGCTCCAGACCAGATCTTATTTACCCAGAGCTTATTCTTATAGCCACACTTGTTATCGGTGGGTATATAACATTGTGACATGGCCATTTTGATGGAATTATATTGAAATCAAGGACATTTTACATAGCTACTTTGCTAGAGATATTTTGACATGGAGAAATTTGATAAAGACTGTAAAATGATCCTCTGTGCTTTGATTTTAAAAATTAAGTAGCCTGTGAAATATACATCATTACATCGTAAAGTTTCAACTCATGTCTACAACTACCCCTGGGGGGCAGTTAATTTTGGATTGGTAATAATGTTAAAGATCAGATAAAGATTATGTATCATCTAAAAAGACAAACTAATATAGACAGAAAGGATGACACAGACCTTAGTCCTCATTTAGTTACCTCTCCTATGTCTTTGGGCTTTCTTTTTCTGCTTTGTTTTCTTAATCTTCTTGAAAATAAAAACGAAAATCAAAAGGAAGCATAGGAAGAAAACCATTGCTCCTGAAAATGTTACTTAAGTAAGCTTTCTCAGACACCTTCCCTTGTATCTATGGCCAGTACCTCTGACCTTTGCTCCCTGATGTCATAGAAGACAGACTCAAGGGTTCCTGACCATTCTGTACATCAGGTCTTAAAGGGCTCTAACCTTTTTTTCTAGCATGCAAGAGAGTAGTATACCTGATATGATGAAAAGAGGCCTACCTATAATTTGGATTTGGAGGCCATAAACCAGATTATCTAGCTTCAGCACTATTGCTATATTGGGGAGAAGGGTCTTATAAGAAGTTGGGAGAAGGGTCTCAGCATGTAGAAGATAGGAAGATATGTATTTTACCTTTTTAAAAATTTATTTTCTTTATTGATTAAGGTATCACATGTGTTCTTATCCCCCCATTGCCCTCCCAGCCCCCCCTCATTCTCTCACCGCCCCCCGAGTGTCTGTGTCCATTGGTTAGGCTTATATGCATGCATTTAAGTCCTTTGGTTGATCTCTCCACCTTACCCCCACCCTCCCCTGCCTTTCCTCTGAGGTTTGATGGTCTGATCAATGCTTCTCTGTCTCTGGATCTGTTTTTGTTCATCAGTTTATGTTGTTCATTATATTCTACAAATGAGTGAGATCATGTGATATATTTATTTTTCTCCAACTGACTTATTTCACTTAGCATAATGCTCTCCAGGTCCATCAGTGCTGTTGCAAATGGTAGGAGTCCCTTCGTTTTTACAGCAGTGTAGTATTCCATTGTGTAGATGTGCCAAGTTTTTTAATCCACTCATCTGCTGATGGGCACTTAGGCTGTTTTTTACCTTTCATTTTTCCAGTTTTAGCCTAATTTAAAGTCATTAATCTAGACTTAGTCCTTGATTTCCATTAGGTAGTTCTAGAAAAGTGTTTCAGGCAGAATTTAGGAGTAGAAAATTATAGAGAAGAAGACAGGACCAGACTAACATTGCAAGTTTTTGTTTGTTTGTTTGTTTAAGATCATGCCCTAGCAGTAGTGGTGATAGTAGTGTGGCACTCTGTTATGAGCACATGGCAGTCCATAAAAAATAGCAGCTAGCTTCTGAAGAGACTTTTCTCCAGAATTAGTGGACATTTTAGACCCTTGAATTATAGTGACGATATAATTTATTGTGCAAACCAGAACACTTACGAATGTGACAGGGGAAACCATTAATGTTTGCATTGGAAAAACCAACAGAAAGTGGGACTATCCTGGTCACCCTACCTTGAAATCACCATTGTTGGACACAAAGCTGAGCCTCCCCATGTTTTTCAGAAACAGAATCAATGTGGCTTCCAATTTCTATATCAAAAGGATTTTTTTCTCAGCTTTTAGTCTCATTTCTAATATCACCTCTTTAAAAAATCTTTACTAACATTCCCATATAGTGTTGCCCACCCCAAGTCAATATTACAGCATCCTGCTTATTGTAGGTAGAGAATTTATGACAATCTGAAATTATCTTTTCTTGTTTGTTTGTTATCTGCCTCCTCTCCCTTCTCTAATATAAGCCCCATGAGGACAAAACCTAATCTAAGATACCAGTGTATCCCCAGAGTATAGAAGAGTTCTAATCACATAGTAGGCATTCGATAATTTTGTGGTGAATAAATGAAAAATGATATCCGATGAACACGACTGGGTGCACTTTATGCTAAGGACCAAAGAGAATAACACTGGTTCCTTTTTATATGGAGTCTGAAATTCATTTACTGTGACCCTATTCTTTAATGGCCTCTTGATATATCTATCTTGAAAGAAATCCAAGACCAGAAGAGGAATAATGTGAACAATAAATAAGGCATAATGGGTTCTCAATCAGAACCAGTCTACTGATTATCCAAATGCTTTACTTCTATATCCTTCTGACTGCCTATCTTTTGGTACCTTTGTGCCCCCATACAGAAGATAAGAATGAGAAATAAAATTTGATACTCAAACTCATTGGTTATATTTCCATTAGCAGATTTAATCAAAAGTTGGTTAGAGAAAATATATTCTGAAAGAAAATCTGATTTTTTTAATAGAGATTTACGATATCCACATTTCCCCTTGTGCCACTTTTTAATTAAGACTAAAGATAATTAAGCATTGGGTATTTAAGATCTGGCAAATAGTAGTCACCTATCCAAGGAATAAATGAGTCAAAGAAATGGAACGGAAAGAGATCAATAGTCTTCAGCCCCCTGTCCAATGATCATAAAGAGACTGTTTCCAACCCCTCTACATCTCAAATAATAGCCTTTTTCACCAAAAATAGTTACTCTAGACCCCCTTTGAGTTCTTTTGGATCAGTTGTGAAGAGAATTTTAACTTTGTCGGCATTATTTAATTTATGCTAAACTGACCTGCAAAATTCAGAGAAAAGTTTAACACTTATAACTGAAAAACCCCTCATCCATTAATATATATAAAAGGATTGAAACAACTCATTTGAGAGCACAACTTTAAAGCAATCAAGTACTTGTTAATACACAATACAATATTTAAAATCTGCTTTTAACAGTAGCATAATAGAGCCTTAATTTCCTTTAAAAGTTCATGTTAATTAATACTTTCTAGGCTATGTTTAAATTACCTCTAGCCAAAAGCACAGAAGTCTAATGAAAATAAGTATTTTAAAGATTTGAGGAATATTTGTCTTTATATAAAATATATGCATACACATGCATTTATGTGAGTGTGTTGGAAGTTGTATTGAAATATTAAAATGCAGTCACCTCCCTGGGGTTCTAGTAAATACCATGAAACAGTACCCTGAGGTACTGTAAACCAGAAAGTGAATGTATCTGGCAAAGATACACATTTTACAACTGTTGAGTAATTTAAATCCTGGGAGAATCTGACTCATTTTAATCACAGTTTCCTCCATTGGCACTACACCTAATAGAGAAACCATATGTTTTAAACTTTTCTAGGGAAAACACTGACTTCTTTTCACTCATACGTGGAATTTAATGAACAAAATAAGCTAAAAAATAAACTAGAAATAAACTCACAGATAGAGAGTAGATTGACAGCTATCAGAGGAGAGGGGGGTTGGGGTAAAAATGTATAGGGGTTCCAGAGTGACTACCATCAATAAACCAACAAGTAAAAGTGTTGGCAAGGATGAGGAGAAAAGAGAACCCTAGTACACTGCTAGTGGGAATGCAGATTGGTGCAGCCTCTATGGAAAACAATATGGAGTTTCCTCAAAAATTAAAATTGAACTGCCATTAGACCCAGTGATCCTGCTTCTGAGAGTATATCCCAAGAATCCCTAAATACCAATCAGAAAGAATATAGGCACCCCTATGTTCATAGCAGCGTTATTTACAATAGCGAAGATCTAGAAACAGCCCAAGTACCCAAGAGTAGATGAGTGTATAAAAAAGCTGTGGTACATCTACACAATGGAATACTATGTGGCTGTAAAAATGAAGGAGATCTTACCCTTTGTGACAGCATGAATGGACCTGGAGATTATTACTAGTATGCTAAGCAAAATAAGCCAGTTGGAGAAAAACAAATATCACATGATCTCACTTATATGTGGAATATAATGAACAAAATAAACTGATGAACAAAATAGATCCAGAGGTATGGATGCATGGAATAGACTGACAGATCTCAAAGGAAGAAGGGGGTGAGGAGTAGGAAGAGATTAACCAAAGAACATATATGC